AACCTCTTAAACTTTAAAACCTATAAACAAAACATATCGATAAAGACCCCAGAAAAGCTGTGGATTAGACTGCCCAGAAAAATAAATATAGGCGACACATATTTTCATTTTAGTGTGCAGATTTTATCGCCTCGTTTGAGTTGGACGTAACCATCATCAGCGTATCATTCCTTTGCAGATGTGAAAGAAGAAATACCATATTTGATAAAACTATTCAGATGTTATGACACAAAAGCTTAGTTTTTAATAACTTCTAAAAATCGAGATTTTGTAAATGTATTACTTATTTCTTTTTATGTTTATCCTAATATCCGATGCACTGTACTTTCATAGGAGTCTTGATTTTCTTCAGCTTCTGGGTTGAAGGCAAAAAAATTACCAACCATCAATGTGTCAATTTTCGGCAAATTTGTGTTTTCTGGTTTTACAAATGCAACGTTCATGTTTGTTCTTTTTAATAAAGCGAGAAAACGATAACTTTTTACGTTAATTAGAGTTTTCATAAACATTTAAAGGAGACTTTAGTTCACGAGTGATATAGGGATACGTTTCTTTGTTTACAATTCGTATGTAACAACATGGCCCATAGTATCTCCACCGTTTCATATTAAAAGTAAAAAACATGTTATATATCATCTTGCGCTTTTAAAAATTGAAATAGTCATATTTCGTTTTCCTAAGAAAAATACTGTAAGAAATACTCATTAGACCTATAAAATTTGATATGGGCCATGTAGCCTATTTATTATACATTTTTCACAAAACATTGGATGCCCTTAAGGAGGTACTTAAAAATATTATCTTTTCAGAGAAATGTCTATCTCGTTTAGGATCCGGTATACAATTACGTGTCAAAAATATTTGTACATACAGGGTGGCCCAACGAAAAGGTCGCACCCCCATTTGTGAATCTCCTGGTATATTTTGGGAAAAACGCACAGACATGTCAATTTTCTAGGAGGACGTCTTTTATTTATAGCGGTACAATACAGGGTGATCCAAAAATAAGATTTTCATAATTTTTAGATTTTCCGTGAAGTTTTTAATAACTTTTGTATAATAAAGTTTATACCTATCTTCAATCGTCGTGACACTATTTGAGTTTATCATAAAATTCGACTAACTTAATACTGATGATGGAATGCTCGGCAAAAAATAATACAAAATATAAATATACATATATACTAAGCGACATATAAATCCGAACACCCAGTTTCAATGGTTTTATTTTAATAAAAGTTGGTGAATGTAGTTATCTCACTGTAAATAACAAGTGAAAAAATTTTTAGCCTTATCAGTTGGACATTCCGGTTTTTATACTGCTTTTTTTTTAATTCACTAACGCTCTAAAAATGGATATTTCAGCCGCAGTAAAGAATCAACGTTGGCGGATTTTGGTTCTTGACATCCTTTACGATCGGTTACGATGCCTAGAGTACGGAGACCTGTACGATTTCGTCAACTTAGTGAGTTTGATAGGGGCCGTATAGTGGGACTTCGGAAAGCTGGACTTTCTTTTCGGGCAATTGCAGTTAGAGTGCAAAGAAGTGTAGACACTGTGGTTAGGTGTTGTCAGGCATGGCTTCGAGAAGGCCGTACGCAAAGAGCAAGGGGCACTGGACGCGGTCGTAGAACAACAGACCGTGAAGATCGCCGCCTAAGATTATTGGCCTTAAGGGACCGTTTCTCCACTACCAGGTCCATTGCAAATGAATGGTTTGCAGAACACGGAAGACCTATTGGCATGCGAAGTGTTTACCGACGAATGAGAAGTTTTGGCTTGTTTTCATACCGGCCACACTGGGTCCTCCCTTTAACTCGAGAACACCGAAGTAATCGCCTTGAGTGGTGCAGACAACGGTCACTCTGGGATCAGGAATGGAACAGTATTGTCTTTAGTGACGAGTCTCGATTTTGTTTCGGCATGTAGGATGGTCGTGCCAGGGTTAGAAGGCGACGTGGTGAAAGGAGGAATCCACAGTTTTTTGTTGAAAGACATGCTCATCACACTGTTGGAGTTATGGTTTGGGGTGCTATAGCTTATGGTTCCAGGTCACCTTTAATCTTTATCAGAGGTAACATGAACGCGCAGCGTTATATCCAGGAAGTTCTAGAACCCCATCTTTTACCCTATCTTGACACCCTGGCAGATCCAACTTTCCAACAAGATAATGCCCGACCACATGTTGCAAGAGTCACAATAGGCTTCTTTCAACATAATAATGTCACATTGTTACCATGGCCACCAAGATCTCCCGACTTATCCCCAATTGAGCACGTGTGGGATATGATGGGTAGGAGATTGCTCAATTGGCAACGTCCTCCTCAGACTCTAGAAGCACTTCGAGAGGAGTTGGTGGTTGCCTGGAATGAGATACCACAGGAGGACATTGACCACCTGATCAGAAGCATGCCTAGGCGCGTTGGAGAATGCATAGCACATCAGGGTGCATCCACACATTATTAAAGGTCAAAGGGCTTTAAAGCAGTGCAATCATTTTGAAATTTTTATCATTTACTTATTATGCTTCATTAAGGACTTATACAAAATTTTATTAAAATAAAACCATTTAAACTGGATGTTCGAATTTATATGTCACACTTAGTATAATAAAATATTCATGGATACCAGCACGAACATTTAGCATCAGCCAGTGTCATCGTATGTCATACAAAAATTTTGTCTTTCATTTCGAATTGTTAAGTTACCTTCATAGTTATGATAAATATTGAACAGAGACTTATTCAATTCAAGAAACGGTAGAAACAACAAAACTGTATTACCAAAATGAGAGCATTGCAAGAGCTACTGCCCGGTTAAAATATTAACGATAAGTTTGTGGCTAAGTTGTTAAGAACATTTTGAGAAACTGGATCTGTGTCTAATATTCGCCAATAACGGTATTGGGACACGTAGCACTTGACAACACCCAAAGCACTCCTGGACTGGCTACTTCTTCAGGATTTACACGCTCAACAGTACTAAGAATTTTGAAAGACAATAACTTTCACCCGTACAAGATACAACTTGTCCATGAGTTTAAAGAAGAAGATTTTGATAGAAGGTTAGAGTTTTACGAACTAATGTCCCAACGTTTAACCAAAAATGCAAATATGCTATTTAATATTTGTTTCTCGAATGAGTGTACGTTCTATTTACATGATGCTGAAAATAAACATCATTGTCGATGTTGGAGTGAGTCAAATCCACATTTGTGTTTACCGGCATTTTCGGAAACCATATGTAAGACCTTTCTTTATTCCTGGAAACTTGGCGGGCGAGACGTATTTAGACATGTTAGAAAATACAATAGAGCCACGAATTACCGAAATAATAGAAAATGACGTTTTTTTATACCGAAGCAGCCGCGCAGCAGAAGCCTAAATGTCGGAACACAGCGGCTGCTATGATGATCCCAAAGAAATTCTGTTAATACGATATTTGAACTGCCTAAGGTTAGTAGAACTGGGAAAAGCTTCCTCTTGTAGATTGTTCCACAATCGTAACACCCTCGGGATAAAAGAGCGGTCGTATCGGCCAGTTCTGGATGTACGAAGTTTGACACGGTTAGAATGGGACGCCAAAGTCAGGCGGGTCTGTCTGGCAGGCACATCGCACGGCGACATCATGGAAGAGAGCTCTGAGGAGCAAAGCCCGTTGGTGTAGCGGTAGAAAAGGGCTAGATCGCCGACGGCCCGCCGGTGCGAAAGAGTCCCGAGACTGTCTGTTAGAGAAGAGTCATCGATCAGTCGGACCGCCCTCCTCTGGACAGCATCGAGCATAAATAATGTAGTCGGGGTGGCTGCACCCCAAACGTGTGAGCAATACTCGAGGCTGGGCATTATCTGGGCCTTTTGTACAGTGAGAAAGTCATGCGGAGAAAAGTACTTCGTAGCCCTAAGCAAATAGCCTAGCTTTTTTCCAGCAGCTGCCGCTATTGACGAGATGTGTTCGTGCCAGATCAGGACCTCGGTGATCTGGACTCAGACCAGCCGAAATAAACGGCTCTTTGGCAGAACTCGGCGATCCATCGAAACCGGGTGAGCTCTAGGACGCTTTTTGTTCGTCAAAGTTCAGTACTGTGTTTTGGAAGCATTAAAATGTACAAGATTGTTGCGTCCATAAGCAGTGATAGCCTCCAGGTCTCTTGTCAGTTAGGAAGTCGTCGCTTGTCTTCTTTTTTCGTTAATTATAATGAAAATTACATTCATTTCCAACAAGATAGTGCACCGTCGCACTATGTGGCTCCGGTACGACTGTTTTTGCAAACCCATTTCCCGAGTCAGTGAATCCGGCAGACGAGGCCGCATCGAGAGGCCGCCGCAATCTCCGCACCTGAGTCCTTTGGGGACATTTGAAAACTTTTTGGTACGAAACCAAATTGCATACAAGATCTTGGTTAGCGGATTATGGCTGAATAAATAGCTCAAGACATGCTTGACAATGTGAGGAATAGATTCGAACAAAATCTTTATTCTTGCATGGACGTAAATGAATTCATCACTTATTAACACATTGAGTGCGAGTAAACTGTAAATTGTCTTGTGTTTTTTTAGGCAACGTCTTGCTACCATGGGAACTATATTGATTATTATTTTTACGATATAATCCCTTATTATACAAGTTTCTAGAATTTTATTATAAACCCAAATAACTTCACAACGATTAAAGATAGGTATACGCTTTATTATACAACAGTTACTAAAAACTTCATGGAAATTCAAAAATAAAAATGGGGGTTTCCATTTAAAAATCTAAAGTGTAACACAATATCTTATTTTTTGATCACCTTTTATTGTACGGCTATAGATAAAAAGAAGTCCACCTAGAAATCAAAATAGACGTGGCTGAGCGTTTTTCTCAAAATATACCAGAAGAGTCACAAATGGGGGTGCGACCCTTTCGTTGGGCCACCCTGTATGTGTGCGCTTAAACATGGCTTCAAAATGCATTATTAATACTACTTGATCAAACGCAAAACGTTCTTGTTACTACTTACTATGTCCGTTACCCGGCAACTCGCCCGTGCAATCCTTGGGAGCTTTCTGCAAACATTTCTTGTGCACATTGTAGTTGCAGTCCTTACATTGCAATCCTTGTTTGAAAAGCCCTTTGAGCAGCTTGCGACAGTATTGGCAGACGGTGGGACGGGTGTACGTATGCAGAACGAACGTGTGCGGGATTCGAAACCGTGATGATAGCTCCTTCTCGATCCATATCGGCCTGCCGCCCATCGATGGGCTACGGTTTGTGCTCGGAAACTGTAAATTTGTTTGGGTTACTACCATTGATATAACATGCAAGGTAATCAGAAAAATCGGATATATCCATATTATATAAAGTTTATTTATACAGTGTTCCTTAATGATATGCGAATATTTAAGGGAGTGAATCTACATGAAAAATTAATGTTAGTTTGCTTTATAAACTATGGTACAAAAATGTTTCCTTACAAAAGCTCGGGGTGTTGAAGTTTTAGGAAACAAATCGAAATTAATTAATATTTCCAGAACCGCTTCAGATATTTCACTGATATTTAGTACGTAGTGAAAGTTAATAAAATTGCATATTTTTCAATGCAAAAATAAATTTTAGCTTAAACAGTGGCGTGCGTACTGATGTTTTTTAACAGAGTTTACACACTTTTCACAGTTCAACCCGAACTTAAACGCAACTTAAAGCGAGATTAGCGAGATGAAAGAAAACACTTGTTCACGCTTATGATGGTATATTGCAACTACTCTGACATTACAGAGTGACATGCACATAGTGGACAAACACAGTAGTAACGACATATGACACTAGATGTCGCTACTTTGACCAATCTTAAATATATAACAGCTACAGTAAACTTTTGGTATACTTATTCACAACACTCCCACTTAACAAAAGTTTACTAATGGTTCTCTAAAACCTTTTAAAATATCTGTCATGCACAACTTAACTTAAACCTAAACCCTTTACAAACTTTGAATTCTTAACATTTTGTAATGGTTTCGTTAAAACATCTGCAACCATTTCGTTAGTAGGTGTATACATTAATTTCACTTTACCTTCTAACACAATATCTCGCAAGAAATGGTACCTTATATCTATGTGCTTTGACCTATCATGGAACATTGGATTGCTAGCAAGCTTCTGAGCACTTTGATTATCATTATGAATCTCAATACAATCCAATTTTCCAGTTAACTCGCTCAACAAATTCCTCAGATATATGGCCTCTTTTGCTGCCTCGCTTAGAGCCATATACTCTGCCTCAGTTGTCGACAAAGCAACAGTACGTTGTTTACAGCTTTTCCATGAAACTGAACCCCCTGAATATTTAAATACATAACCAGTAAATGACTTTCTGTCTTGCTTATTGGACCCCCAATCTGCATCTGCAAAACCTGTCAAATTTAAATTATCCTTAAAAAATTTCATAGACAAGCTCTTTGTACCCTTTAAATAACGAAGTAAACGCTTTGCAGATTGCCAATGAACTTTAGTGTATGAGTTATTATACTGACTTAATAAGCTCACAGCATGAGAAATATCAGGTCTGGTCATTACCGAAAGGTACATTAAACTTCCAATAAGCTCTTGATATGGAACTTTTGGATCACAAATTTCACCACTGATATCGCTCAAGTTGATACTACTGTCAAGCGGAGTACTTACTACTTTGCTATCTGACATACCAAAACGACATAAAAGTTCATTAATATACAATTCTTGATCAATTGACAAACAATTTTTCGAATAATCCCTAGTAATTCTTATACCTAAACATTGTTTTGCCTCTCCTAAATTCTTAATTTTAAACTTTGAGTTTAAATGACCTTCAAGAAACTTCATTTCATTGTCATCAGACGAAAAACAGAAAAAATCGTCAACATAGAGAGCAACAATGGTTAACAAATTACTGTTATTCCTTTTAATGTACAAACAAGGCTCATATTTGGACTTAGAATAACCAATTTTTGACAAAACTTGGTCGACTTTTTCGTTCCAAGCACGACTAGATTGTTTTAATCCATAAACTGCTTTCTTCAATCTATACACTTTATTTTCTTTATCTTTAATGACAGAACCTTCAGGTTGCTGCATAAATACATTTTCTTTCAGAATACCATTCAAGAAAGCTGTTTTCACATCCAAGTGTAAAATTTTTAGATCTAGCCTAACAGACAAAGCAAGCAATAAACGAAAAGTTGAGTGCCTTACCACTGGGGCGAAGGTTTCAACATAGTCCACACCCTCTCTCTGTGTGAAACCTTTAGCCACAAGCCTAGCTCTATACCGGTTATGGCTTTCATTATCACTCTTCACTTTATATACCCACTTGCACTGCACCACTGTACCAACTTCTGGCGGATCTACTAATTCCCAAGTGTCATTATCGATAAATGACTGTATTTCTTCTGACATAGCTTCTTTCCACTTCTGCCCATCTGGCCTTGAAAGAGCCTCAGTCACTGATGTAGGGATACTCGAGTCATAGACTTCACCCTTGCTGTTAACACCTCCAAAATATGTCACAAAATCTTGAAAATTCTTCTTCTTGATCTGTCTTTGGGATCTTCTTGGAGTTACTTGTTCACCATTATCAAACAAGTCATGGCACTGACCTTCAGGCACATATTCATCATCATCCGAGAAGTATACATCATCTTCAGAAGATTCATCATCTGAATACATGGGATTCTGCTCTCCCACTGAATCTGGAACTTCCCTTTGCTTATCTGGAACACTATCCGGCAACACTGTACTTGGAATTTCCAAACTTGGTTTCTCTATGATTGTTACATCACGGCTTACTATGACTTTCCTTGTTCTGGGGTTAAAACACCTATATCCTTTGGTAGTTTCATCGTACCCAACAAGCACATGCTTCACTGACTTCTCGTCCCACTTGTTCCTACTGACCTTCGGAACATGAACCATGGCGGTACTCCCATATACCCTAAGATGACTAAGATTTGGTTTCTTACCTGTCCAAATCTCATATGGTGTCATTGAAAGCTTTGAACATGCTGAACGGTTTTTCAGGTAACAAGCAGTATTACACGCTTCCGCCCATAATGCCTTGGTCAAGCTCTCATCAAATAAAAGACACTTAGCCTTCTCCACAATGGTCCGGTTGAACCTCTCAGCCATCCCATTTTGCTGCGGAGTGTGACTGCTCGAAGTCTGGTGTATGATGCCTGAATTCTTTAAAAAACTATCCATTTCTCTATTACAGAATTCCCCACCATTATCGCTTCGCAAAATCTTAATCTTAACATTCTGTTGATTCTCAACTAATGATTTAAATTGCTTAAACTTATCAAAAGTTTCATCTTTTGTCTTCAGGAAATATATAAAGCACATTCTGCTGTAATCATCTATAAATGTCAGGAAATATTTAGCTCCACCAATAGATGTTGTTTCCATAGGACCACAAATGTCGCTATGAATGACCTCTAGCAGTTGCTGTGCTCGACTGCCTTCTTTGGGAAAGGTAACGGGCTTGCTTGCCCCTACAGCATACCTCACAACTCCCAATGCTTGTACCATTACAGATAAGACCATCAACCAACTTGGCTGTCTTATTCAGGTAGCTGTCATTAATGTGACCTAAACGTTGATGCCATAAATTGCTACTTACAGCTTGAAAACACACTGGCTCCTCACAAACGTTCAACTTGTAAACGTTGTTATGTAGACTAGCAGTAGCTACTGATACACCAACTTTATTGTAAATATTGCATCCCTCTTCATGAAAACTTACTCTATTTCCATTATTGATTAACTGGCCTACTGATAATAAGTTAGTTGTTAAACCAGGAATATACTGTACACCTTCTAGTAAAATCTTGTGCTGTTCATTGGTCATTGTTTTGATCTCAACATCACCTGCACATTCCACAACAACTTTCGATTTGTTAGCCATTACAATATCAGGTAAGTCAGGCTTTCTCCTGTTTTTTAACCACTGGCTATTGGCAGTTAAATGCTTGCTGGCACCACTATCAACATACCAATCTGTGACCTTAAAATCACCTGTTGTAAACACGGCACTAAATCCTCCTTCAAGTCTGTTATTGTTAGGGCATTTTGACATAAAATGTCCTGTCTTTTTGCACTTGTAACACACAATATTACTCAGATCCTTTTTATTATGTCCATTTCCAAAACCACTGTTTGAACTTGACCTCGATTGAACCCCGAAATCATCTGTGTTTGTTGACATTCCCGCTTGGCTAGCACCAGCTGATTTTCCTTTGAAATTCGTCCTACTAGCGCCACCTCGCGACTGTTTCCGAAAACTCGGTTTCTTGGCGGAGAATGCACCTGCATTTCCATTACCACTAGCGCCATCTGTCTGCATATCCAATAACTTGGTCTTTATTGAATCTGTGGTTATGCAGATTCCTGAGTGCTCGACGGCCATGATCATTGGTGCGTACTTGTCTGGAAGACCGGCCAGCAGCAATGATCCTACCCACTCCTCGTCTATTTTGAAACCTGTTCTGCGTAACTTTTGGGAAGTCTCAACAATCTGGTTTATGTACGACTCCATACTATCATGATTCTCTAATCTTGCCGATATGAGTGTACGTAAAAGTCCAATCTTTCGCATGAAACCACTGTCATCATATAAACGTTTGAGACTGGTCCATACTTCTTGTGCAGTCGTTAAATCTTTGACATGCGGGAACAAAGATGGATCGATGGTTAATACTAGCTTGGCCTTTGCTTTTGCTAGGGTCGTTGTGTCGGTCTCGGTACCTTCGATGCATTTGTTTAAGCCCTCTAGCACAAACACATTCTCGACGGCAAACGCCCATTCATCATAATTCTCACGGCCTAAAAGCCTTGGCACACTCGTCAGGTAGTTGACGGCCATATTTGTTCTGTGAGAAACACTTGCGTCACGACAGTTTCTTTCAACGTCTCGATTCACTAAAGTTTCGCTGCTGGGTGTCCTACTGTGGGTCTGGGCCCATAACCTGATGTTTTTTAACAGAGTTTACACACTTTTCACAGTTCAACCCGAACTTAAACGCAACTTAAAGCGAGATTAGCGAGATGAAAGAAAACACTTGTTCACGCTTATGATGGTATATTGCAACTACTCTGACATTACAGAGTGACATGCACATAGTGGACAAACACAGTAGTAACGACATATGACACTAGATGTCGCTACTTTGACCAATCTTAAATATATAACAGCTACAGTAAACTTTTGGTATACTTATTCACAACACGTACTTCGAAATTTATCGAGAAA